GTGCATCTATAGGCCTCTTGCTGCAGTATTTATCTAATAACAAATCTATTCTTGCTTCATATCCTTTAACTGTTCCTACGTCATACTTGTCTTTGGCAAAAACTGATTTATATCGTTGTATTAGCTTATTAATCTTTTTCCTTTTTGTTTCATCTAAATGGTTTACTTTTATTTCAAATTCTTTTTCTTTAATATATTCATTAAAATTTATTTTATATTCCTTTTCATATTTGTTAATCTCGTTTTCTCTCTTGATTATTCTTTCTTCTTTTTTAATATTTTCTTGTTGAAAATATAGTTTTTGAGTAATTTTTAACTTTTCATTTTGTACTAACTTGTATGTTTTTATCATGTCTAATCCTATTAAAAAATCATATCTGAAATGCGCATCATCGATAATGTAAACATCTACTTTTTCTTCTATTTCGAAAATTTTAATTTTTAGCTTCGTCAAACCACAAGTTTTTTTAACACCATTAATTGTAACTAAATTTTGTTCATTTACATTATTATTCTCGTTTTTTAATTTTAGTAATTTTGAATTAATTAGAGAAACATTCGAACCTGAATCATACACTCCATATATCTCTAATTTAGAATTTATTATGAGTTTGACTTTAATTAATGGTGTTACTATTAGTTTTTTTGTTTTGTTTCATTTAACTCTGCTTCAATCACTGAATTGTTGACATGTTTTATATATCTTCTATCAAATTTATTATTATCTCTCATTTTAAACCAACATGCAGCCTCTGGATGGTAGCGTATACCTTTATTTAACCGTTCACATATTTTGCATGCAGTACGTTCCTCAATTTTGTTATATATCTTCTGATTTTCGTATCTCGTGTAGGTTCCATTCTTATTTTTATTTATCAAATGTTCATACTTTCTTACTTCATTGAATAAGTCTACTGTATCTTCCATTCATTGTCTATTTATCTTTTCTAGAACAAAGCCTGGCAATCCAGCTGCAATAAGATCCACTAGAGTACCTGTATCTATTGATGTTCTCATGTCCAGTAAAAGTTTTTCTTTTTTTATAGCATAATCCACCAATGAACCATCCTTGTACTTAAATAACAACGCATAAGTCACTTGGTTCCAGCCTTGATTTGCAAATGATTCACAGAATTTATTTTTCCATATCAGA